TGGTGGCCCGTACGGGGAGTCCCATTCATGAATGGTGAACTCTATTTAAATATCTTTCTCATGAAAAAATATCTCTGTGCATTCTGAGGAAGTAAAATTATATTACCTTCTCATGTTTGGCAAGACAAGGATGTATAAGACCTTTTCATGACTGAGGTGTTCAGAATATAGCAAAAAGCTGCAGATTTTGTTGTTATTCTGGTCATTTTAAGTCGTATATCAAGGTTTTAACTTTAAGCTGATGAAAAACAAACATTTTACGGTTTATAAAGGTAATGACGTCACTTCCTGAAAAGGAAATATATATTCTCAGCTCTTATAAATAGCGAAACGCTATTTTCATCGATAAGATATAATCTGTGAACTCAGTTTACATCTTATTTTCGTATTTTCGCTAACATGTATGAGTTTTATCCACTCGTAAAATGTTAAACGAAATACAGGGAAGAGTTTGAGTGTGACACATGCTAACGAGTTAGCTCCAACCACTTCCGGGACGGAAAAAACCGAACGGTACGTCTCGATAAACGGCGAAAAAGTCATTTTCGGCGCCTTGAGCGACCGATTAAACTGCGAACTGGCGTTTAAACCGCAACAGAGAACTCTTTGCGCATTTAGAGGCATTTTTCGGGCAGTTTTAACTTCGATCCGCTAGAACGGACGGAGATATTGAGGGTGAACACGGAACTTCCGGTCCGCCCCGTCAACTTCATGCTAAGCTGTATCGCTAGCATAATGAGAAGCTATTGCTTGTCGATTTTTGAAACGCTGTGTTGTAAACTACGGTTTAAATACGGTAATTTAGTGTCAAAAGTGTTTCATTTGTTCCATTTGATGAAACTTACACTGTAAAAACGGACCGCCGTTTTTATACTGAAGGAACGCTTTGAAGGCGGGACTTCCTGTTAGACGCTCCGTCAGTGGACAGGGCACAAGCTGCTGCTGTCACTCAGAGGTGAGTAAAGCTGAGGTGTCATCCTTTGCAACGGCGACATCTGCTGGTTGATTTAAGGTATTACACTCTTAGAGCCATTTTCACCAAAGAACACATTTCTTCTCAACTTTTCAGCCAAAAANCTGGATATGAGGCTTAGATGAAAAGTCAGACAAGTAGGAGCACATCTTCCTTTTCTTCCTAAAGAAAGTCTGCTTGAAGAGAAGCAGCAGATCTTTGTGTTCTGGAGGCAGTCTCCAATGTGAAGAACATTCTGTTAGCCATCAGAAATGAGAAAGGACTTTAGACATGCTGGACTGCTCCTTTCTCACTGGAGAACAATGTGTGGATGAGAGCCATGTAATGTCCATGTTTGCTGAAAGACACTGATGCTCTGACCCCCTCCCCCTTTCAGGGTGGAGCCTGCTGGAGACCGATGGTTGACACCAGGTCTGAGGAAGTGTAAGTGTGTTTCTCCTTTCATTCATGACAACAAACCATCTTCAAACTGTCACATCACTCATTCATGAGTCATGAAGAACTGATCAGATGATGGATCAATAACTGCAGCTGGATTGTGTTTGTTC